GGATATCTTGGGTTGTCGTTGACCTATGCATTAACATTGACAAATATTCTTGGAGGATTAGTGAATGCCATTGCAGCAACAGAATGCGATATGATCAGCTTAGAACGTGTTCTGGGTTATGCTGAAAACACAGAGAACGAGACTGATGTTGAAGACTCTGTTTCGCCGCCATTTGCATGGCCAACAAATGGAATTATACAATTTTCTAATGTTTTTCTTAAATATAGGTAAACTATTAAAATGTATATATGCTTTGGAATACGTATTTTATATATTTTAATTCTTAGACATGATGGTCCTATGTCTTTGAATGGGGTTTCATTTGAAACTACTTCCTCGGAAAAGATTGGCGTCATTGGTCGAACAGGAGCTGGAAAAAGTTCATTATTAGCTGCTTTATGTAAAATGTGTGATATTAGCGGTGGTGCTATTTTTATAGATGCTGTCAACCTTTCTAAAATTTCTTCACGTACAATAAGGTATACCTATCCAAATATTAAATACTGTAAAACCTCGTTAAGACGAAATCATTTGAGACTGTCCAATTTGTTTGTCTTGAGGGAGTTTTGGACTTAACGAAGATCACATTCATTACCTATGTATTTGATTTAGGACCATAGAAATCATCTATGTTACCGGGGTTTTCGTCTGTTCGAAGTTTTACTGTACTAATATTTGGTCTGATTTAATTATATTTTAATATCTTAACATTTAAAGTAATACAATGTGCTATGCTCATTTTTCAGAAACCGTTTGTGCGTAATACCTCAAGATCCGTTTTTGTTTGATGGTACTATACGTGAAAACATTGATCCGTTTAAAGAGTATATGGATTCAAATATTTGGTCTGCATTGCAACGCTGTCATTTAGTAACAACTGTTAAACGTTTAGGCGGGTTGGGGTGTTATTTAGGGGACAATATTAACTTATCTGTGGGTGAAAAACAGTTGTTGTGCTTAGTGAGAGCGATACTGAAGAATGCCAAAGTAGTATGTGTGGATGAAGCTACTGCAAACGTAGATGAAATGACTGATCGCAAAATACAAGAAACAATAAGAATTGCTTTCAAACACAGTACTGTCATTACTATTGCTCATAGAATTCGCACTGTTATGGATAGTGATCGGTATGTCTATATAATTTGTTAAACTATAAACTAATTGAGATCTATTCCGTGATTTTTTTAATACATATTAAATTTTTTTTTAGAATATTAGTGATGGACAATGGGATGGTAGTAGAATTTGAGTCCCCCAATGTACTTTTGGAGGATAAAAATTCTTATTTTTATAATTTGGTTCAACAAGAGTTCAAATAACAACTTGTGATAAATAGTTTAAGTATTTTTTATTACATATTTGTCAATATTTTATCAAATTATCATTAACTCTGTATATTTGTTATGAATTATATTTTATAACATATAACTATTTGTTTAATAAGATACTAAGACAACAATATAAGTGAATTTTTAAATGTATTTAATATTTTTAGTGTGGACGTCTGTATTGATATATAAAAAATAATATTATCATTATGTATATATTATATATTTGTTTATTGACTAATCAACTTGTCATTCATTTTGACAAAACTAAATGTATCAAATTGTTATTGTAGATAAATTTTACTATATGTTACCTATAGGTTTAAAAATTATTATTGTTACAAAAGTGCATTAATTTTAAATATGAAAACTATTTTTTTTTTTTTTACCTTATCCAAATGTCTAAATTGTATACCAAAAAATAATAAATAAATTGTGAATCAACTAATATGTTTGCATAAATTAAAATTTGAATCTCAAAACCTCAAGTACGTTGCTGTATAATGTGGATCCATGTCAATAGATAGCGGACAATGGATCGCAGAACAATTGATATTGTCATAATATAGTAGATACACTCTGTATATAATTTATGTGCAATTAATTAAATACAATTAAGTATACCTATACTTAAAGATTTTTCACAAATAAACTTGTCAATAATTTAAACAATAAGAATAGTTTAAATAAGCTACAACAAAGTTGTCAGTAATTATAATAATATGTAAAAGGTTTCAGTGGTTTCACAAATAAACTTTAGTACAGTTACCTGTAATTAACAAAATAATAATAGGTTTTTTAATCTTGGTCACCTTAGTTCGACAAACCTGTATAGTCGTTTTCAATGTAGCCACACTCATTATTTGACAAACTACTGTAAATTTTGCTTAAAATAAAATATTTAAAAAATGCATGTGATGGAAAATTAACTTAGATCTCAAGGTTAGGTAATACAATTTTTAATATAAATAATAATTATAACAATATTGTATATCTTTGTACACTCCACAACGATCCAATGGCTTGTGACATAACTCAGCTCATCTTCAACTGCCCCAGTCTATCACTCCAACGTAACCACCTATTATCCTTTTTCAGCACCTCCAATATCCTTTTCAACACCAAAAATATCCTCTCTTATCAGCAAAAAAATTATCATTGATAATATATTATCTTTTTTAACCATACAGACTTTAATTTAATTTCTTCTTGTTTTTTTTTTGGAAATAACTAATATCTCATTACTCATGTTTTGATCTTGGTTGTTACTTGTTAGTACTTAACTATTGAAACTAATTGTAATAACAAAGTTTAAATAAAAAAGATTTTGGTTTTTGAGTAGGTAGATAATTCGAAAATGAAAATTGAGGATATTCAGATATCAGATATTCTGGCAATCTAGAGCTAAACTGGTACCTACCTATATGCCGTTCTATGGTAAAAAAAAAGTTATACTATCCAAGTCCGAGTGACACATTCTGATTACACCAATACACCATCCTTTTAACTCGTAATAAAAATGTGTTATACAGAGTGTTTCTGAAATGGATGAGGTCACTAGTATATGCGTATAGATATATCATATATGGTACTCACTAGAGAGCCTAGATAATAATATATATATATATTATCTAGGCTCTCTAGTACTCACAGTACTCACCAGTCACCACGGACCAATATAAATTATATAAAATAGTTTATAGGTCTATGGTAACCCAATATCGATTTTTTTAAACATTTTTTTTTATCTTTAAAATCTGGGTTATAATCAAATTATTTTTGGAATATTATCTTAAATGTAAAAACAAACACTATAGGTACTAGGTAGCTATAGTTTTTGAAAAATTCGCATACAAATCGAAGCGTCACATTCTCACATCGTTGTTGTGCTTATCGCCCGTTTTTTAGGCTCGAAGCGCCGACTGAAAAAAAATGGTGTAACACATCGATTTTGATGAGAACATTACCTACCTACAAGATAAACAACGGTGGTAGTTATCTGTTGTCATTTAATATACAATTAACAAAATGTTTAACATTGTCGACTAATAAAGATAATGAAATACTTACCTAATATAGTAATATAACGAAATTAGGGCAAAGGAGTTATAATAACTTATAACTTATAAGTGATCGAATTTATTGCCAAGCATTAAGTCATAATAAGTCTTAGGTGTAACAGGTATAACATTCCCGGAAAAATATAACATTTTAAATTTGAAAGTACATCTAGTTGAACACTAGACAAAATATTTTGAAAATGTATGGAAAGTGATGAAATAAACATTTGGTAAAAATTTCAAGTTCTACCTATACGTTAATAGTATTTTAATAACATTAAAATAAGAAAATCGATCGATGACCATCGTTATTTTATAAACTGAAAATCCAAAGTTGGAAATGCTTACAAAAACTGAAGTTGACTTTTCGCCTTCCGGGAAACTTTAATTTTTTAGTACAGGTGTAACATCTTGCATTTAATTTTTAAACCTAAGATATAAATAGAATATTTTTATGAATTGCAAACTTAAAATAATTACTAATTACCAACATTTTCGTAATTTTGACGTATTTTGTCACAAATTATTTTTCAACAATAATTTTAAAAAAAAAATTAGTAAAAATCATAATTTTCTTATGTATAAACATAGATAAAAAGTAAAAATGTTCTGAAAGTTTATTCGTGTTTATAAAATGGCGATATAAACATCCGGTGAAAATAAAAAAAGAATATAGGTAAGGTTATTAGTTTAAAGTTCTGAGCGAAGCTTTTAACGTAATGATGATGCATTGAAAAAAATTCTGATGGTAACATTGACAAACACGTTTTGTAGATAATTAACAAATTTAACATTTATTACGCTTACAATATTTATATAGTTATGATAAAATATTGTTAGATTAATAAAATTATTGTTATATACTGACGCAGTTCAGCAATTGATTTTATCAATTTGACAGTCAATTGTCATTTTGATAAATCTTACTATATTCATCCAACAAAATGTATTTATAATTTGCAATATACATTTTTTTAAATCAATATAATTATTTTGTCATTCCAACAATAAAATCTACTTAAATGATAAAATCGTGTTGCTGAATAGTGAATATATATTTTATAAGTCAACAAATTAGTTTTTTCAGATCAACAAACATTTTATTAACTTTATTAGTTATCATACTTTATTAAAGATCCAACTTTGTCTTTGTTCGCTATATACTTACCTATTATGAGAATTGTACCTATTTATATAATACTTTACAATGAATATTTGAATACGTTATTTACATTTTCTCATTACATAGATTGTAGTGTTTTTTGATCTATATAGACAAATACAATTTAATATACAGTGATTAATAAATATATGTGTTGGACGTTTGTTAAAATGGTTTACCTACCTAAGATTCATTGTGATACGTTTAAATAAGCTCGTTTATAGTTTATATTATGTAATCATGCTATGTGAACAGTTGAATAGATAAACAATTTGTGGTTTATAATGAACCATAAAAGAAGGTAAGTTGGTTTATATTAATTATTTTATTAAGTAAGTATATTAATATTGAATAAAAATAATTAATTGAAAAAAACAAACATTAAATTTGTAAATTATTAATTAATAATAAATGCACTTTTGCAGTTTTTTTTTATTATTTTTAGAAGAAAATATACAATCTATACCTAACTAAGACATAATAAGTATATGTGCTATAAGAAGGAAACAAACAATAACATGATACATAAATTTGAGGAAAGAAGCCACCCACTGATGACACTTTCAACTTGTTTAAATCTAGTGTGATTTAATTATATGGGTAGATTTTTTTATTTTTTTTATTTTTTTATTTTTTATTTTTTATTATTATGTTTTAAGTAATAAATCTCTACACCATCTACGTTTTTGCAGTTTTGATCGTATTTTTTTCGCAGAAGTTACACGCGTCTAAGGTTGGAGCTATACACGGCGAATATCGCTGTTGTTGAAAACCCATATGTTTAAATCATGCCGGCTATACGATATCGCCGCGATATTCGTTGCCGGGCGACGATTTTTTTCAAAATCGCACAATCCATAAAACCGCGTGACGGTCAATTTCCATTGCTTTTAATGGTAGCGGCTATACAGGTATTTTGGTAAAGTGAATTTCGAATCCATTTTTATTACCATACGGTGTTTTGATACAATATTATTGTACTTGTATAATATGATATTATTGTAAAATTGTAAATATCATATTGTACTATTAAACATATTATTATATTATTATTAGTTTTAAGCTATATTTAGTTTTCATCGGGTACGGAAAAGGTATAATACACCTACTTATTTAAAACTGAATTATTATTGTCTCGCGTGTCTTACCGTCAACATGGCTAATTTTGACAACGAGAGACTCATTATGGAAATTCATATGAAGCCGTCTATTTGGGACATTTCAAGTAAAGAGTACAAAGAAAGGGATAGAAAAATTCAAGACTGGCTAGCTGTAGCTGTTACTTTGAATGATAATTGGGATATAATAAGTGAAACTGAAAAAGACGACTTTGGTGAGTAGGTACCTAAATATTTAAAACCTTATAAATAATGTTTACACCACAGTTTTCACATTATTTTTACGAAACTTTAAATTCTATAAAATGTATATTTTGATTTAATTTAATTTTGGTTAATTAAAACAACAATTACTGTAATTTAAGATACCTATATTTAAATTATTATTTTTAAATATCAATTTTAACCTAACCTTGTTGAAACTGGCCCTTTTTTCTTCTTTCCGCGTTCAGTGGATGTACAGCATATTTTCTTTTGGTATTTTTTTTTTGTTTCCTCTTCCTCCAATGCTAACGCAATAGCTACAAGTTCAGCTGTACTGAATTCATCAGACGTCATATTTTCGGTGTTATATAACTGGTGGCTCTACTGGAGCGATGGACACAACAAAAGTGACTGAAGAATGAATAGGTACTTCACGTGCATGTCCATGTGAATGTTCTCGAACTCACCCCACAAGTTATTTTATAAAATTTTAACTATGGAATTATATTTATAACTTCGGAATAGTTTTGGAACCTATTATTGTATTATTATACTACTATTATTGTATTACTGTATCAAAATCGCGGCGAATATATTGAACGAATTCGTCACGCAAATTCGTTGTGTATAGCAGGACAGAACGATATTCACCGTGTATAGCCCCAGCCTAAGCGAGCGCTTTATATCTTTCTTAAAATTAGGTCCAATATGGAATTCGCCAAGACGCTTACGGGGAATGGGGATTAAAAGTAATTGGTAAATATTTAATATCTTCCCTGAAAATCTGAGCAATAGGAAAAACACAATCATCGTTGGCTCTCATTGGGCCCATACTAAATATCCGCCAAAACGAACAACAAGCAATTGAAAAATACGACGAGAACGTTCGACAATAATTATTCATTTTCGTATTTCACTTTTGGAGTTCAAGTGTTCAACTGGTGTTTGTTATAATACTCGTATTATATAATAATAATATTTATATTAAATACCATCTTATTGCAAGTAAAATTAGATAAGTCAATAGTTGTTATATTCTGTATATTAAGTACTTCAAATATTATAAGCAGTGACAAAGTTAAGATTTTGTTCTGGGGGGGGGGAGGGGGGACGACTTAACACATATTATTACTGCAGTATAATAATATATAATATAGTATATTGTATGCTCATATTTTTAATTTATAATTTTTATAAAATCCAAACACCCACTCACTCATTATTATATTTCTCAAAAATACGAAAAAGTATGAACTACTTATGAGAAACATTTTTCAAAATGTTCAGTCCTCAAAGCTATCGAAAATGAATATATTATACATTTTTAATTACAAAATAATTTGAACATTTTCGAAGTTGAAAATCGTGTTTAAATTAGTAAAATTTGTATAGATATTAATATATTATATTATACAGAAACAAACAAATTAAATGTCACTGTAACAAAATTCATTACTCCAGCTCCGTTTAAATATATAACTCCTAGGACTGGAAGAGGGATCTATCACCCCCACCCCACAACTACTCCACTACATATAACTTATAAGTTATAAATAGTTATAACTTATATAACTATATAAGCATTTTAAGATGTATATACATAGATAACAAATATTACTCTTGAATAATAAAATGAAATTATAGGTTGGTAGGTACTAAGGTACTTTAAAACGATATATATAACAACAAAAATAATTATTTTAACACCAATATTATTGTATAATTTAATCGGATTCAGAAAATTGTTTTATTTAATAATATTTTTAAACAATAGGTATTTATATCTACAATATAAATTAAAAACAATTTTCACTAAATATTTACTTGACATAGGTATTATTATTATGAGGAACTTCTAATTCCATTTAATGCAGTGTCATGTTTGATGTTTTTATAATTAATACTAAATTAATAAATTCAAATTAAATTATTTATTTCAAATATTTTTAAAACATTTATGTAGGCACCTACCTACATTTAAATATTAATTTAGAATATAATATAGTATATACATATACACAAACACACATGTTTATAATAGGTATACTTTAATACTTATGTAAATGTTAATGTATTTTAAAATCTGAACAATTTTTTTATAGGTTTAATGTTAATACTGCAAGTAGGTACTGGCTGATTCTTCATTTTTTTTTTTTCATAACTTACCTACCTATTCTTAAAATGTTTTGTTTTGTTTGTAAATCTATATTTTCTAACTTAAAAATTTTGGTGGTCCTTTTAAAATATTTCACTCACTCAAGTCATACAGTACATATGAATGTGCTGAGGAATCTTGTCATCAGGCTTTCCAATGTTTAAATAGTTTTAAAAGGCACATTTCAACTATTTGCCACAGTCCCTACATAGATAATAATCTAATATATAATCTAAAATATTAGTAGAGGTACCTAACTAATCACGTCATGTATTTTCAGATGCTAAACAAGCAGTTACATTTTATTTACTCCATTCGTTATTTGTTCCAACTTCAAAAAAGTCGCTATGGATGATAAAGGAAAGAAAAATATTGTTAAATTTTAGATCAAAGATTCACAAAATACTTTTTTGGTATTTTGTAATACTGTAACCCTGGCTGAAGAATTCATAGCTGACCGATATAGACTTAAATTGCCAATTCAGCCCTTTATTTTGGTTAGTGGTACTCCACTACAACCAAAAGAGATAATTGTATACGTTGATACAATTAAATATAAAGTTTTCACTATACTAAGAGCAATAGATGTGTGCTTTAAAATTATTCATTTATTTAACTTAGAGTACCCAATGGAATCATGTGCTGTATGGCAATTTATACAAAAATATTTGTATAATATTAAAACTAAATTTGATAAATCCCACCCCAATCTAGATCAATTAATTTTTGATTTAGAAAATAATATGGAATAGTTAAATATATTCTGTATTCTTTTATTATATCTAAATAATATATGGTGCATAATATTTTGTTTATTTTATAATTAACTGCTGGACCTATATATACATTTATATACCTATAGGTACATATTTCTATATTTATTTATTTTTTATTTTAATACATTATTAATTTAAGTACTTACTCACACTCAATATATACAGAATATACATAATTAATGTCTTAACATAATTTACATATAATAAAGTTAGCTATAAGTATTATCCTACTTATAGTATTTAAAAAAAATATATATGTTGTATAAAAAATATTATAGGTAACTGTATGGTTTAAATTATATAATGTACCTTCTCTAAATTAATAAAAATAATTAAATTTGTTTAAATTAAGGTCAATAAATACTTTTTTTTTCGATTTTCTGTAGTATTTCATGATTCAATAATCAATATTATTGTTTTGTATGTATACTTAAAATTTTAAAAATTGGTCTTAAAATAATAGTTTATAATGCTTCCAAGAATTTTTAAGTTTTCGTTAAGTACCTGCGCAGTCAGTCATGCAGATGATACAATACCTAAAATGCATATCTATCTTGCCGAAGTTTTACTTGACAATATAATAGGTGTACCTACGTGACATCCGAAATTCTCGAACCAATTAATTATTAATAGTTTTAACTTTGAAGTATTATACATTTATGATGAACGTATACCTACTAATATTTTCGTGTACAAAAAGCAGGTACTTTTAAAGCATTTTAAAAACTTTTTAAATGTATTCGTAGGTATTCATATTGAAATACATATTTTGAAAGACAGTACCTATTGAACGAATACTTATTTAAAATTTAAATAATACATGGAGTATTTAAACACGCATTCTGAATACATTTTGAAAATTATTCTGAAATTTCCTTAACAAGTCTGACCAAAGTCTACGGCCGGTTGTGCGCATCACGGCTGGTCAGCGGTCATAGTTTTCACTTGGTCGCAGTATATTGTACAGTATAAGTTGTGTACTCCGCTGGAATCCGAATTTTAATAATATTATTTATTCGAATACAAGACGAGAGTGCGCCATAACCGAATATGTTGCTAGCACTGTTCGCGACACGAGTGACTTTAATCACGGAATGTCCCGTAATATTATTGCCGGCATGCGTTTCGCTCACGATTAAAGGTGCATGTATATATATAATTTTAATCGCGGTTTGGCGGCATTCGCGCTATCGCAAAAGGCGATGGAGTGTGCCGCACAGTTGTTGTCGTTCGTTAGTGGTCGGCCCGTAATCGAGACAATCGTTACATTTGAATTGTAGGTGCCTGGGTATTTGAGTTTATGTGGAGCGAGCTGCTGTGTACTTTTACCACGTGCTTTTTTTTCCGTAAACCGTTTTCGAGATGGATCAAGACGAAGACTGGGATTCACCCGTCAACATTCAATATCAACCACAACAACAGTACAGGAAACCGATGACCAGCAATCCCGACGATTTGCTCATGGACATCGATTCCCGGTTCGCGGGCATGGTCATCGGAAAAGGTGGCGCGGTGATCAAAGGCTTGAAGAAGGAAAGCGGTGCGTTCATCTCGGTCTTGGACAGCGACACGTACGGGTTGAAAACCGTGAAGATATCGGGAAATCCAAAGGCCAAAGAACACGCTCAAAAGCTCATCAACGAAATCATCGACGCGAACGACCCGGATAAAATAAAACAAAAGTTGATGGAGGAATCGCAACAGACTGCACCGGTCCAATCTAATTTTGACTGGGACGAGTTGATGAAAGAGGAAGCGGAAAATCTCAAAATAAGATTAGCGGCCATGCCTCCAATTATCAAGGATTTCTACAAAGAACACCCCGAAGTGACCATGATGACTGACCAGGAAGTTGAAGATTTCAGAATGTCTAAGAACAACATTATGATCAAGTATATTGAAGAAAATAACGTGAGGCCAATTCCTAAACCAGTGTTGAAATTTTCACACGCATTCCAAGATTATCCGGAAATATTGGAAGAGATACAAAAGCAAAAATTCGAAACACCGTCCCCCGTACAGTGTCAGACATGGCCTGTCATCATGAGCGGCCACGACTTAATAGCTATTGCACAAACAGGTACTGGCAAGACGTTGGCCTTTTTGCTTCCTGCTTTTATTCATATTGATTTTCAACCGACTCCTCGTAGCGAAAGAAAAGGACCATCTATATTAGTATTGGCTCCAACTAGGGAATTGGTGTTACAAATCGAAAGCGAAGTATGTATATATTTTATATGTGTATATAAGTTTGATCATAGTATTTATTATTGTTCTGTCTTGTTTAGGTAAAAAAATATAGTTACAAAGGCATTAAAGCCATGAGTATTTATGGTGGCGCGAGTTCTGGAAAGCAAAAAGAAGTTCTGAGGAAAGGAGTGGAAATTGTTATTGCTACTCCTGGTCGACTCAATGATTTTGTTGGTAGCGGTGCCATTGACTTATCTGATGTGACGTTTTTGATACTTGACGAAGCTGATCGTATGTTAGATTTGGGTTTCGAACCTCAAATACGTGTTTCATTACTTAGGGTTAGGCCAGATAGACAAACCATAATGACAAGTGCAACCTGGCCACCTGGAGTTAAACGTCTTGCTAAAAGCTATACAACTAACCCTATTCAAGTTATGGTCGGATCATTGGATTTGACAACAGTCAATACTGTAAAACAAGATATTCTTATAATGGACGAAGAAGAAAAAGAACTTTGGCTTGACGATTTTCTGAAAAGCTGTAGTCCAGATGACAAGATAATAATATTTGTGAACCGAAAAGTAACAGTGGATCAGCTTTCGTCAGATTTATGTATGAAGGGGTACATTGTTGAATCCATTCACGGTGGTCGTGAACAAAGTGATCGTGAAATGGCTTTGGAAAGTTTACGTAATGGTGAAGTTAATATTTTAATTGCTACAGATGTAGCTTCTCGTGGTATTGATATCAATGATATTACAGTAGTCATAAATTATGATTTTACTAAGGATATTGAAGAGTACGTGCATAGGGTAGGACGAACAGGACGAGCTGGTAAAACTGGTCTAGCAATTACTTTAATGACTAGAAGGGATTGGGGTAAAGCCAAAGATTTAGTAGAAGTGATGGAAAAATCTGGACAAGAAGTACCTCCAGAGTTGCAAGAAATGGCATCGAGGTATGAAGCTAAGAAAGAAAGAGACAGAGCTGAAGGAGGTGACAGGCCATTTAGGGGTGGTAGAGGTGGCGGAAGAGGATTTTCGAGAGGCGATGGAGGATTTTCAGGAAATAGAAGAAATAATTACTAAGTTTTAAAATTTGTAAAAATTTTCAGTCTTATATTCCTTATTATTTATTTAAATTTCAAATTGTTCAAGCACTAGTTATATATAATTTTTATTTAATGTTAATAATTATCATCACTATTAATGTTATCCTATTATTATTTAATAAGTAATTAAACGAGATTGTTAAATACTATTTGTATGTATGTAAAAATGTTGTCGTACTTTAATGGTAAAATACGTATTGTATGTACATAATGCTTAGAGAAATTAACTGTTAAGTATATTCAATACACAGTGATGTAAATAATCATTAGTATTAAAACGTTGAGCTGTGTATGTGGCTGAGGATTACCCGATAATCTTGTGCACACAAACATTATTGCTCTAACTCGACTAAAAAAATGTAATGTTTTCTAAGCATACATTAAAACGAGTATTTAAATGAGTATTGTACTTGAATTATTAGATTTTATGATACTTAATTGATAAGCAAAATGTTTTAGTACAAATTTTTTAATTTGAAATCAGGCAAACATGTACTTTTTGTTTTACTGGAAGACAACAATTATTTTTCCACAACAAATGTTAATGATTATTTATGACAAATAGGTACTAAAAAGTATTAAGCTGTACAAACTGAGCTATAGGTATGACTTGATCTTACCAGTTACCATGTGCAAGGTTCCACTGGTGACTACTGAAACTTGTGTTTTTATTCAAACCTTGTCTAAGTTATTTTTTCTTAGAACTATTTACATATTGTACAAATTAATAGATTGTAAATAGTTTATTGTTGCAATTCGAATAAGAAGTATTGTAGCATATTAATTTTTTTATTACAGAATTAATTATACTACTTTCCATAGCATACATTTTTTTACAACAAACATGTTTTTATTTATTTATTCATTATTAACATATATAAACATTTGAGGAAACAATATAAGTATTTCGAGTAAGTAAAAATCAAAATGTTAGAAAATTTTCAACAAATCATTATTTTAATAACTCAATTCAAATTAATTTGAATGTTTGATATTGTATTCATAAGAATTGTTAATATACAAAGGTAACAATTTACTTGTCAGCAGATTAATCAATATGATAGATGCAAAAATCGAGAACTATGATAATGTAATATGAACACAAAAGAAACGTTAAAATGTTAACTTTATGAATAGCCTAACTCCTATCATCTTTGTTCTCCCTATTATATCTGAATAAATTGAATTGTCTGATCAGAAAATCTTCTATGACCTAACCTCCCACAATAGCAATAACAAATATAGCTTAAGTATATAAGTTTTCATTACTTGTTACTCGAATTTTATTTCAAAAAGCTGATAATGACTCACTATACCAATCTTTTTCTAAACCCTATACGAGTTCGTTCTTCTTCATCATCACTTCCATAAGCTGATGACACACCCGATACAGCACCACGCCACGACGTAGCTTGCATAAGTTCTTGGTCTGGTTCGGTACGATTTTCATAGAGCATTAAATTAAGACATTCTTCATAGATTCTTGCTTCTGGAAAATCAACCTAAACAAAAACATGTTGTAAAAAATACTTTAGTTTGTTGACGTTTTATCTTCCCATTTTGCCTGCATAGGTAATATACTATAGAAGTTTTCAAGGAATAATATTATTAATTTTAAAACTAAACACAGCAATAAAAGAAAACCTCATTACCTTTGTATGTTTTTTGTCTGTAGCATATACAATAGATGTGCAACAAACTTCAGCGACTTTAGTTGTATATCCAAAATAACTCCAGCAACATATTTCACTTGAACCACTGACATCTTTGATAAACAAAAATCTTGAACCGAAACGCAATGATAGTTTATCAAATAATTCAACATTTTTTAGTAAATTATCATCAGAAGCACTGAAAATAAAAATATATTAACAATTTATCATGTAGGATAAGTAGTTTTATATTTTTTTTACCTTGTATATGAATACTTGTTGTTATGTCTATTTATAAGAAGTTTAACAGTTGGCTAAATAAAAAGACAAATAAATTTTAAAAAAATTGTTAAAAATATGATGTTTACTTACTTTTGTACTCATTGTAATAAGTTGACTTAAGTCTGCACTAGAAGACGTAAGAGGTATACGACACTGAGGTTTGATTTTACATTGTCTTGACCTTAATGCTTGTTGACAAGATTCAACAAGTGGTGATATTAAATAGAATTTGGCTTCAGCTAATAGTTCAGCGATTTCATGTGTCTTATCTGGAAGAGCTACATGTTCATCGCGCAAAAAGTTCAACACAGAATTAAAGTGCTTGCCACAACGATCAATTAGGACCCAACCTGAACATTTTTTAATGTAACAAAACTATTAATACATGATTTAGGTGTGTTATAAATTGTATCATTAAGCACCTTCAGTATCAGTAAGTACTTTCATCCGACCACTAAACATTGCTTTCAGCATAGTATCATGCTTCGTCAAGGTACCAATTGTAGTGTAAAATAACGAACCACCTATATTTAATTTTGCATATTTGGGTTGAATTTCTTGAGGCTGCATTTTAGTTTGGTGGTTACATTTGTTGTAATCAGCAGAATCTAAATGATTTCGCCATATGCATTAGTTTTTAAACTATTAAATGTATTATACACTAAATTATTTTTAATTACTATTTATTTAAATCAACCAAATATTTAGGAAATGTCATTAACTTTTTACTATAGAAACTAAATAATTTAATTTATTCTCATTTAGTATACATTTTATGAAAAAAATAAGAGCGATACGATAATGATAAATAAAATGGAGAGATCACTTACATTAGGATATGTTCATTTAGCAAGCCCTTATGATTGCATATTTACCTATGCAACTACAATAATTTATACTTTATGATGTCCCTAAAGTCCTAAACTAACTCTCGTGACAAAACAATTAAACAAAACAATTTTAAACAACTTTGTTTTGTCGTGGGCCAAACACTGAAACACAGTCTCTACTCTCTAAGATTATAGATTGTATAGTCAAAGAACAAAAGTATAATCATAGAATATATAAACAACATTGCTTATATATTATATTTTGCTATGGGTATAATGTATACCGTGATAGTGTGATAACAAAATGATATCAGGTAATTTATAGATAATATTATGGCCCATTATCACGGACATATTGTCACGAAATTCGGTGTAGAGACTCGTAGTTGTAGTTCACCAACTTGCGGTCGCTGATTTATAAAATCATTTGATCGTATATTCAGGATGTTGATTGGTCCAATTTAAAATTAAACGGCAACGGCCAACTGTAAACTCCGAACGACTCAACGTCCCAAAACAAAAGGACACGATAAACTGTGTAGTCGAGAACTGTCTGATCATAGAGTAGTACCATCAGTTCCATGTGAGTTCAGAGTCGTGACTCGCGTTCCTACTAGGCTAATGGCATTATGGCAAATGGATGTGTACAGCGGTACAGTAAAATTCATTCGGCTTTAGGATTTGACGTACGTATTCCAGATTCGGCTGATCTCTTTTCCATGTTCTAAATTTAAATTTAAAACTATTATCTGAAGACCGTTTTTTCCTGAAATAAAATATTGTCCAGTGAAATTGTTCGTCGAGACTTAAAATTTCTTCTTATTATATGGTCGATTGTCCTGAAGCTGAGCCAAAACCTATATTATAATAACTTAAACAAATTATTAGCGCACCACTTCGTTACCGTTTTATGTTTAAAATATGAAATCTTCACGTTCCACATCTTCTAAAAACCCCAGTAGATTCGCAAGAAGGTTAATGTCCGAATCGTCGGACGATAGCGACGAAAAAGGATCATCAAATGCACAGATGGATAGTGCTCGGGCAGAGAAAGCGTTTGCTCGTCACAGACGACAAACACCCACTCCAAACAGTTCAAATGTTACAGACGATTCTGTTTGTGTTAAACCTGACAGAACATTATTCAGATTGTCCGATACTGATTCGGAAGTAACACGTGGGTAAGTTTTTTTCATTCAGTAACTCATCAAACTTGATACAGTAAACATACCTACTACCTATTTATAAATAATAGGTATTTTCACTATGAGTACTAATACAATTAATGTACCAATACAAGTGTACAAAGTTTGGAATGCACTCTTAAACAATGATAAATGTTTTGATTTTTGGGTAACATTTTTATAATTCTGACCTATACCTAATTCCACGTTTAAAATATTAAATAATGAATCCTTGATGGCTGTGTGGAGTCGAGCCCCTTTGAAATGCATTTTTTGTAGGTAGGTAGTTTTTAATTACTGTTTGAGTCTCAATATTATTGAATTTATACTATTATTTGTAACATAATGAATTATTTTAAACTATGAAATTCAAAAAATACATATTAAAAAAAAAATATTAATCTTTGTCTAGTGGTGATCTCTACCGGCAGATTAGTCCGAGTTATTTGGTACTTGGCTGAACTATTTAAACTAAAAGCATTAGATAAAATTAAAAATAAAATAAAAACAAAGTTTGAAGTCCGATTCCGGGACACTGGGACGTATGGCAATCCTACAAAATGGAATTAAATATTTGTATAAATCTTTCAACTTTGTTTTATTTAATTTAATTTTGTATTTTTATTTTAGAAGTAGCAGAGTTGATAAAAAGCAATCTTCTAAGTATCATGATAAAACTACTTCTCCTGATACTTCAGTAAATGAATCAATTTTCAAACCTATAAAAAGAAATTTGGCCAAGTATCGAAATATATTACTATCAAGCGATGACGAACAATCAAAATATAGTAGTTGTGATGTAAGTTTTTTTTGCAGATGTATTCTTATACTTGAATGTTGATATTATCTACTTATTATTTAGGAATCAGGCGACAACTCTATGTCTAAAAAAAGTCCATCTTTAATAGAATCTGATGAAAGTGGTGAAGAAGTTTTACTTGAAGAATACATGGATAAACCTACCGGGACAACAAATATTGTGGCTAATGAATCTTTTAAACTTCAAGGAAAGTTTAAAACCAAACAAAGTTTAATTTTAAACTCTAGTAATGAAACGGTGACAAAGAGTGTTATTTTTGATGTAAGACTTTTATTGATTTAAATATTTTTGTAAAAGCTTAAATCAAAATATTTTTTAGGAAACTAATTTGAAGTCGGAGTCAGATTCAGATATTATAAATTCACCACAATATCAACAATTCAAAATACCGAAAAAAGTTAGTCATGAAGAATCTGAAATTGAATCAAAATTAGATGATTTATCTATAATTGAACCTAGTGATTCTGATACTGATGTTTCTGCGCATCATAAATCAACTGTTACATCTTCTAAACAAAACCGACCATTTATTGATGACTTGAAATTTTCAAACACTATCTATTCGTTACATGATCCAATATCTCAGAGTAGTATTTTAGAATATCCAAATTCTAAAGAAGTTATTATAGAACAGCCATCAAATATTAATAAAAATGAGAAAATTATTGAAACGATTGATTTGGTTGGTGACAGCCCAAAAACCTCTAAATTACATTTTCCGAAACAACCTAATGTAACAATTGATTTGACTGAAGAAAAGGTAGATGAAAAATCTTCCATATCTTCAAAAGATATTTCAGTTGCCAATACAAAAAAAATGACTAATGGGGATTTTCAATCTCTGAAAATGGAAAAACTAAGATTAGAAGAAATTCTAAGTCGATATACAAAAAATATCGCTAACATGAAAGTTAGTATGCCATTAATATATTTTTATTGCATTTAATTAATTTTACTGTAACTTTTAGCACACTATGCAAATAACAAATTTAAATTTATTGCCTGACGGTGGTTATAAATTAAAAAGGGCTATTGTAAAAGAAGAAAGTGCATTTACAGATACAAAAATACAACTAAATAATGTACTCAAAAAAATGGAAGATTACCCAGGTTTGTACTATGTCTTATGTCATATGTCCTCTTAAACAATTAAATTTAATTACTTAATTAAAATGCTTAATTCATATTTCTTATGTGAATGGTTACAGATGAATTAAAAATGTCTTCAAAACCTCACTCGTATCAATTACAAACATTAAATATTAATAGTGCATTGACTAAAAAGGCGGCCGGTAATATCGACATTAATGCCATGGGTGACAAAGGTAATTTTAAAAATACATTACTTATTGCAAAAACAACTATTTTTAAATTCAAGATAAAATTTAAAATTATCTTGTTTGTTTTTATAGCTTTGAGTACTTATCGCACACAGCAAACTTTGACTTTAGACGTACTTAATAGTTTACACAAATCATTAGAAACTTGCCCAACTTCCAATATTTTAGCCGATGACCCACAAAAACTTAAAGTGGAACTTATGCCCCACCAAAAACATGCTATAGCGTGGCTGATGTGGAGAGAGAGTCAAAAACCACACGGGGGTATTTTAGGTACATAAATAACATAATATATTATGTACACAAAACTATTTCTCAAATGTCAACATTATTTTATGTTATATTTTTCAGCTGATGATATGGGCTTAGGAAAGACTTTATCAATGATTTCTCTAATTCTTAAAGCTTATGAAGCTGAAAAAGATTCTGACGAAGACTCTGAAACGGATGATTCTGACGAAGACTCAAATCTAAATTGTATAAATTTATAATATACTATGATTAAAAATTCAATAAATTAATAATGCTTGATTTTTCAGCTTTTAAAGGTGGAACTCTTATCATATGCCCATCGTCATTAATCAGCCAATGGGAAAATGAAGTCAAATCTAAAGTAAAGCCAAGAGTTTTAGATGTACTTAAATATTATGGACCAAATAGAGAATCTTCTGCTAGACGATTGGCTAAAAAACATATAGTCTTGACTACATATCATACGGTCATGTGGGACCAAAAAAATCATAACAAGACAGTTCGTACCTATTCTATCAAAGTATGTCAAAGTTATTGTAATAACTAGTTCATTTTTTTATAGAGCCCACTGTATAATATTAAATGGTGCAGAATAATTCTCGATGAAGCCCATACAATTAGAAATCATAAAAGTCAAACGTCTGTAGCAGTAAGTTCACTTTCTGGTGTTAATCGATGGGCATTAACTGGCACTCCGATCCATAATAAAGAAGCTGATTTTTATGCACTGTTAAAATTCATTAAGTGTCGCCCCTTCGATGATTGGGCAGTAAGTATAAGTTCTTATTTTAAATTCTTTAGAAAAAATGATAAATTATATGTATGGTTTAGGTACAATTAATGTATTCCTAATTTATTTACTGTACAATCATACTTTATAAACATAGAGGATTTGGTTGAAATAGAACGTTTTAATCTGATTTGTAGTAGATGCTGATCTTTAGCAATTTGGTCTATACATATTTATTAAGTTGTTAAGTGTACATGTAACAATGTAACTTATAATTATCAGATATAAATTGTATTATTTAATATTTTAGAATGATGGTTGTTTTTTATGTCTGACTGTACACCAGTGTTTCTCGAACTGCGTGTAGCATTATTTTCTCTGATTATTTTATGTTTTAATAAAAATAAACTGGAGCTATAATTTACTAAATGTATTGTTACTCTGAACTTTTTTATGTGTAATTAATTTTGATTGCAGGTATGGAAACGTTGGGTAGGTAATAATGATGAAGCTGGTAAAAACAGACTTTCTTTATTAACTAAGACACTTATGTTGAGACGAACAAAAGTTCAGCTACAAAAAACAACAACATTTAATTTACCAGAAAAAACATTTCACACCATCAAAGTTGAATTATTTAAAGAAGAAAAAGAAGCATATGAAAAAGTGTTACATTTCTCGAGGTTTGTTAGTCTCTCGAGTAAATTTCATATCAACTTATTTTTTTTTTAATGTTATAGTTCACTGTTTGCTACATATCTCTACGAAAAAGCCGACAAAGAAAATGCTATTGCAAGTGGCTTTCCAGTTAAACACAAAGCTAAATATTTAACTCGTAAGCAACACTGAAAAGAAATTAATTATTTAAAAACAATAAATTAAAACCTATTCTTTTATTTTTGATAGAAAATAGTGACAATGTTTTTAAAGACCATCCTGAGCTGGACAAATTATTTAAGCAATTAGTAAATAACAAAAACATTCAAACCCATCATATCTTAGTTTTAATACTACGATTAAGACAACTTTGTTGTCATCCTTGTTTGTTGAAAAATGTATGATTATTTTTATTATTAATAGATAATTAAATAGTGAAATAAAATATAATAATATTATTGTTGTAGATGTTGGAAGATGAATGTCTGAAGACTGATGGCATACAAGATAAAGGAGATTTAGATATAATAGACAAAATGAGTCGAATGTCTATTTGCATTCCAAATGTTGAAGCTGATACTGTTGAAAATAATAATGCAATTTTTAATGAAAAATGGATTAGTTCTAAGGTATGAAAACAATTAATTAAGCTTTAAAATATTGCTTGAACTAAAATTACTGACTTGTTCATAAAATGTTTTCAATTTATTAACAACAATTTCAGATCTATAATATTTTATTTTTTTATGATTTATTCGTTATAGATTAAAGCTGTCTGTGATATGGTGAATGAAAAAGTATTGCATACTGATGATAAGGCTGTAATTGTGTCTCAGTGGCCAAGCGTGTTACACCTTGTGAACAAACAATTATCTCAGTATAACGTTAAAACTGAGATATTCAGTGGAGCTGTTCCTGTTCTACATAGGAATAACATAATTAGTGAATTCAACAAAGTCAAAGGCGGACCTAAAGTAAATAAAAATATAATTTTTATTGTATGTCAAAATAACTATAAAATATGTGTATTATCATGATATAACGTGGAATCCTAAATTAATATTTATTATTCTTTTCAATTCAACCCACATTTCAAACATTATATTTGTTTTTTTCTTTAAATATCATGGTTTTTAGTCTTTTTTTTTTTCTTTTTTATTGATCTTGAGCCCGGCAACTGTGGCCATTAGCTGTAGAGTAGGTATTGTAGGTTTGTATTGTAGGTTTTGGGACGGTAGGGGGGAACACGTGTGTGTTTTGATTTGGCAGAATTTCGAATGGGGCACCCGTAGGTTTCTGCCATGCCCCGGAAGTGGGGGATGGTAGCACTTGTTCTCTGGTCACCGCGACTTGTCTGGAGAAAAATGCCGCCCAGTGGCTGAGGATCAAACCGCGACCGGCTGCGTCGCAGCGGACGCGTCAGACAACTCGGTCACCTCGTCCCCCAACAACATTTTTAATATTTATATTATATTTTTTATACATTTATCTTTAACAGTTTTTTTAGTTTCTTATTTTTTGAATGATAAATTGACAGTTTAATTTCATATTCCAAAGGAGAATATTTTTCTAAGTATTTTGATACTTAAAAATCTAATTTAGAATGAGTAGTTTATGAGAGAAGTTAAAGTTAAGATGAGTGGAGTGGAACACCATTGTCTTAGCAAAATGTTGGTCTACTGCTGCACTCATCTTTACTTTGATACTTATTACTCCTAAGCCACTCATTATAGTTATTTAATACCCGTTTTGATGTTGAATGAATTAACTCCATATTAATCTACATGAAAGATTTTTAATAAAATAGAGGCCTAAAATTGCATTCAATCACAATATCTATTTTTAACTTTATATAGGTGAAATAATGTTTAAAATCAGTACCTAATAACAGTAATAACTAATTGGTAATTTCTTATTCATCTGTACTAAATTGTGTAATCAATTTGCAATGAAAAAAAATTAAGGGCCTTTTAACAAATTAAAATATAGCCTATAGATTCTTAGGATAGTGTAACTTTCTGGCGATAAAAATATTTTAAAATCAGTTTGGAGGACACCACACCCATGTATTGTCTCCATCTTACAAACGTGTAACATAACAAAAACTGTTTTTGCGTGAAATAGAATATGAGTGGTTTTAGCTTGAGTAGCTGTAGTCCAAGCTAAGGAACCAAATTCTTACACCATTATTAAGAAAACATTTACTGTGCAACATCATTTTTTTGATATTGCTAGTACAAGAAATGCTCTTATTGTTTAAAAATGCATTATTTCAAACTTGAATTACTTTTTTTGTTTTTGTGATATCGAAAAAAATAAAAACGATGTTGCATTGTAAATGTTCTCCTCTTAATAGTATGAAAATGTGGTTCCTTACCTTGAGTGGTTCTATTTTGTGCAAAACAGTTTTTGGTATGTTGTACGTTTTTAAAACAAAGACAACACGTGTGGGTGTAGCGTCCTCTTAAGGAGTTTCAGAGATTATCTCGAGTAAACAATTTTTCTTCTTTTTATTCAAGTATAGATATATTTTAATTTATTTTATTTCAGATTTTACTTTTGTCACTAACTGCCGGTGGTGTTGGCCTCAATTTAGTAGTTGCCAACCACTTGTTTCTAGTGGATATCCACTGGAATCCACAACTTGAAGCACAAGCATGTGATCGCATTTATAGAGTAGGACAACAAAAACCAGTCAATGTATACAAGTTTCTTTGTGATAATACTATTGAAACATCAATTCAAAAAATTCAAACACAGAAGCTTGAAATTGCTAGTACTGTTTTTGGTGGCTCTAGAAATGTTGAAGGTACTAAGATAACTTTAGATGACCTCAAACAAATATTTAATATGAACCCTAATAAAGTCAATCCTTAAATTTGTTAAATTTGTTCATACTTTTATACTTAGTTTTAACGACTCAAATCATTTTAAACTGTATACATAATTCATAATTTATGATTTATTTTAATTATTACTTTGGAAACAAATGTGCTAATATTTTGTAATTCGTATTTTGTATTTATAAGTTTTTTTAAATAAAATTTAAAAAAAACTAAAATAAAAAATAAAAAATTTTGTTTTGTATTTATTTTGTTTTATACCTCATTATTCTCCTGTAGAATTTAAACCAGATATATTCTGTTCTAAAAAATTACCTAATTTTTTAACTTGTGATGATAAATGGATAACAAGTAAATAATTCAAATACCTTTATAAAGTAAACAGTTATAGGTCAATGGAATATTTATGATTATAAATTATATATTTAATGCAAATTTATTACAACCAATATTTTAATATTTTCTTACAAGTATAGAGAACCATCTGCTGGACCAAGGTATCTGATAGATATTAATAATACATCAATAAGTGTCCAAACGCCAAGGCCTCCAAAACTGAATAGTTTGCCTATGCCTTCTTGCCAATGTCCCAAGTAAAACCTGATACAAAAAATATAATATATTTTAAAACAAACATTTCAGTTTTAATCACATTAAAGATTATGCATATTATACCTGTCTATACCAAATCCTCCTAGAGTAATACTTAAAATTAAAGCAGTAGACCACCGGTGGCCACCTGTCCAATTGCAGCGCAATCTTTTTAAAAATGTTCTTCGTCCCAAACACAAAACATCTCTGTTCACTGTACAATTAGTCCTATAATAAACATTTATCATTAAAATTACATTGTAAAATATAAATTAAGAATGTTTAAATGATTTTAATTTCAAAATTTCATCCGTTATAATTTCTTTGAGTTATTTTTAAAAAATCTTATTTTAAACCGCAACATTAATTTACATTTTAATTACAAAATGTGTGCATAAAGTTAGTAATTATTTCTATTTTATTAAAGCAAAAGAGTTGTTTAATATTTTTTTTATATAATCAAGTGTTTTGTATCCAAAAAAGACAAATTTTTAACAAGCTTTAACCACAAAAAATATTTATTCAATTATAACCGGTAATAAGTTGGTGGAGAAGCAGCAGAATTACAGATTTTTTTCACACATTCATATTCCCAGAACTCTGTCTGATAACAAAACCGACAAGTCAAGTTTTTAGCAAATGTATTTTCTCCCTAAAAAAAAATACACATCTAAATTAAATGAAAATAAATATTTTAAATTACTACATACCAAACAATCTACATTAGCTTTGCATACAGCAATTGTTTGATTTCCATACACACATGTCGTATTCATATGACAACTGATACTTGGATATGGCATACTTGAACAAGCCTTGTGCTCAGAGGAGACCATACGTTCCAAATCATCTTCGTGACGTATCTTTAAATAGAAAAAAAAACTATTACAGAATGTTTGTAAGTTATGTATTACATAATATGTTGTGTTAATTTCTATTTTCAACAGTGGTGTCTTACAAACTAATATTTATAAGATCAACTCAAAACATAAATATAATATTAATAAATCAGTCTTTAATCATCACATTTTTTTCGTTTGTTTCCTTAGGTATAGTATTGTATATTTTGTTAATTATATTTATATATTGATTAGATAATTATTATAAAAACTAAACGACATTCATAAAGTCCAAACTCTGCGGCCGATTAATAACTTATTAACAAAAATAACTTACCATCCTGGGATGTGTTGCATTATTCATATTTGAGGTTTGAATTGATTTTTGCTTCTGTTTGGAGAGTGATAAATCAACATGGTCATCGTCTATGAAAAAATATTTTTAATTTATTAACAATGAATGATCATTATCAACAAATGTTCAAAATTAAAAATCTTAAATAAGACAATTTTTAATTACCATTTTGAGATGCTATGCTGTTTACTATGAGTTTAAATAAGAGTATAATTGCACAGTGATAATATTGAGACTTCATAATTCATTTCAATATTTCATAACAGTTACGACAATGAAAAAAAATTTTAAATCTATTGATATATCTAGTCAAATTTTTTGATGAGCGAGTTTACTTTTATTATTTTACCTATAAACCTATTTATTATAATATTCAAGAGTTTTATACCACTGGCACAGGACAACAGAACTCTCCTACAAACTACAGTTTATAGAAAATTGAAATAATCAAATATTTCAATATTTCATGTAAACTGTGACCACAAAGAAGTTGTCACCACTCGATGATCAATGATCTCATGACAAGCAACTTCTCTTTATTCTATGCTGATGAAACGTGTCAACGGTTTGAGGAGCCGGGAAGCACAATAAACGGCATATCAAACAAGAATATAAAGTGATTGTTAACTACAGAACGAGGTTGTATTATTGTGTTTTTATTACAGAACAAAACGTCAAAACATTAAAAAAATAACACTTTGACAATATCCGAGATAACACCGATAACTGATAAGAAAGAGTAAGCAGCAAGACGTGGAGGTATAATTAATGTAATACCTGCAGCATTGAGTGAGTTTTCCTGGAGCCCTGGAGGTACACCATTGTACCAAAAGCAAACAGTTCACTATGAAAGTCGGTTATCGCAGAACAATAAAAAAACAAACATTTACAACAGCATTAAGTCATCAAATAATTTTACTTTAAGTAGGTACACTTATTCAATAATAGTACCTACTTTACTACTTATATTATGGATAATAATTAATGACAGACCGTCTTCTCTCAAAATAGTGTGTTAACTGTTAAGTAAGAAATAAATATTTAGTAAATGTATGTATACAAATATAATGCCAATGGCTTTAGTTTTCGAAACAGACATTTATAGTTTCAAGACCAATAGAAAAAAAAAAAATTTAGTATTCACGCTTTTAAATAAGTGAACAGATGCAAATTATTATTTATCTGGTATACCTACTTTACCTAGTTTTTATAATGGCTATTATATAATTAGAACTTAGAACTGTAAGTTAACTTTTCATTAGCAAACTGTGTCAATTAAGCGATGAATATATTAACTTCAAGTATCTATAATGGTGAATTTTTTTCAAAACAAATTTTTGACAAACTCGATTATGGTTTTTTGTAATACCTAACTCAAAAAATAATATTACTTACGTCCCACATGTAATTTTCACCGAATGTTAGTATTCCCTATGAGCAACACGCTTTTTATAGATATTTTGACTCTTTTTCAGATATTTAAAGCTATTTATTTATTTTTGAAATAAAAATTTGTTATCGTCACACAATATTTTAAGTTTTTTACTTTTTGAATAACACCTTACATTATTAATTTCACAATTTCACATTATTAACTAGAGTATTGTACGGAGTGTTTAAACCTATAGAGATCAATTTCAGACAATCACCTAGTTGATTAGTTATAATAAGTTATAAGCATTAAAGTTTTGAACTTTTAAAAAGCGGAGTAGCGGAGAACATTTTGCGGGGCACCCCTGTAATACTCTATATTCTATGACTCTTAGTTATAACTATTAACTATTGAACTACTTGTCCAAAACTTCATATTTATAGATAGAAATACTCCGAATAACATTCTTTTTACATATGAAATTAAAAATGTATGGCGTGTCTTTCAAAAATGAAAAATCTCAAATAATTATAACGTGGTGGCCTTAAAATTAAAAACTGTAAAAAAATGTAAAAATCGAACAAATGTTCTATGTAGAAGTATACGTACATTTATGTTATTTTCAGAAATAAAATGGATAGGCTACAAATCACATACCTATCTATGAGTTTTTCTCACGAATTAAGATATAAATTCGTGGTTTTTCGTTGTCCAACAGATATTCTATGTACCTAAACGGTTTATTATTTATACGTTCCTTCGAATGCTAATTAGTATTGTTTTAATTTCGTATGAATTATTTTTTAGTGCAAAATAGTTATTTTTATGTCACTATATAACAATATCATAAATAATAGTTCAATTGCTTCTGTAATAATAATAATTTTTTTCTATAAAACTCAATATTAAGACAGTTAAGGACTTAAAGTTCATTCGAGTTTTAAAATGACTTGCACGAGACATCATACTATTATTGTGGAATGACGACAAGCACAACTACAGATATCATGAATATGCTTTCAGAAGACTTACGATTATGGGTAATATCTCATAATTCACTAAGTAGGTATCATCGTTAAAAACCAATTTATTTGATTCTCATAGGAGCGTTCTTTTTCGAGACAAAATACAGTTTTAAAAATATTTTTTGTATTCTTTGAGATTTTAAGTATTTTAAGATGTTGATTTATTTTACATTTGAGTGCGAATGAGGTGGATTTAAAATTTAATTTCATCTAACCACTATATAATATGCATATTTTTTATCACAGAGTAGCGCTAGTTAGTTAAAATTAACATTACCAGTTAGTCTTATTATTCAAATTAAAAATTGTGAAAAAAGTTTAAATCGACCAAGTTTCATAATATGCTGTATAATTATGTACAATTGGAAATAAAATGGACCGGCTACAAGAGACATGCGCGTTTTATACGTTGTTCGGGAGATACCTTCTGCAACGTTTGTTTTACCTATAGAGTTAGGTACTATGTTTATTATTATATCATGTTCGTCCGATTGCAAATATTTTTCGTCAGTTTAGTTTTGATTTCTTAGCGATAAGTTTTTCGTACAAAATTGTATTTATTTATTTATTTTCATGCCACACATAATAAATAGGTATGTAATAATAGTTCAATAATTCATGTACCTATAGTACCTATAGTTTTTTTTTTAGAAAACGTGTTTGTAAAACAGTTCGAATTAATTTTAGTTAGGTTATAAGTTATAAGTTATAACTATTAACTAGTAACCTACAAGAAACAACAGTAAATAGTGACTATTCATTTATGAACGAAGACTATCATGAATGTTCTTTCATGTTCTTTCTTTTGCAAAAGACTTACGGTAACTTCTCACATGATATAATGTATTTGTAGGCAAATTGACGAAAAGCAATATATTATTGAATTGTTCGCCAAAAATCTATATTAGTTTTTTCAAGACAGTACAAAATTGTCAAATTTTAAATCATTTTATTTTTTTCTATCTAGAAATAATAACTTTTTATTTGTGAGTAAAAGAGTTTGAAAATTCAATACAAGGTTCTTAGAATTGTTTCAACAACAGATAAAAAATATTGAAAATACGCAAAATAATTTTTTCTAGGAACCTAAAATCTAAATACAAGTTTTTAAGTTCAAATTATTACAAAATTGCATCTAAACAAAAAAACCATTTTATTGTTATTATTATTATTTATTTATTGACCACAAAAACTCCATTTACAAAATAACTTATTGTTTTTTTTTTTTATTATTAATGAAAGTTTCCCTGACATCAGACATTGCATTTTAACATTTGGAAAAAAACAAAACAATAATAATTATAGTATTATAAGTCAGTAATGATGATAATATTATAGTGTTTGCTACAATTTATTTTCTTTATAATAGTTTATTTTTATACGTGGCTAAGGCGCTAAGCCATGTAGGAAAATTAGAATTATTAGATACTGTAAATGTTTGAATAAAAAAAACTTATATTAGAATTTATGTCTATATTATGATGGATACTGTTCCAATTAACAGCGCCTATTTTGGTAATAATTTGTTTATAGTCGGCTTTATTCCAATAATACATAGGTAGTATGTCAGTATCATAAAAAAAAAAAATATTACAATAATATTATTAATATTAAATAACATAATTTAATGCATTTCGATTTTAGATTGGTTGTAAGATAATTACCTAACCGTTCTATATGGTATTGACTAGACTACTAGAGTTAATTCTTAATACAACTGCTACTTATATTACCTATATAAAATAATTTTAAAATTATAGTCATTCGATATTTGCGATTTCTCTAGCATTGAAGTTTAGTTTAAAAAAAAGGCAACGACAAAAACTAAATATAAGATATCCCGTGCGCACGAGCATGCCATCGGGCGCGTCCCCGGGTTGCGGATAGGGGAACCCTCTGAGGATATACTCTCAGGGTAGCCGTGAAATAAGTCATACCTTCGGGATGGACGAATAAGCGGCCGCGGACAAGCTCACCACCGCCGGGGAGCCGATCGACCCCCGGTGTCCCGATACATCACAAGCAGACAGACGAAGCGAAGCTGGCGTCGTCGGTGGAGGCCAAGCCGACTTAAAAGACGAAAATGGACTATAAAATGCGTGAGTTAATTCTCATCCGGGAGTGCATTAAGACCAGGAGACAGCGGCTGGGGGTGGCTGGCGCAAGGAGTTGTGATCGCGGTCAGCCAAATCCCAGTAAGAGCAGAGGCGGTCAGCTAGGCCTTTGCTCGTGATCATGGATAACGAAGGATTGATTTTAATTTGAGTAAGTATACATCTTTGTATCCACCTACGATATTATCTTGGTATTTTATATTTTCAACTCTTTTAAGTGTTATTCCATCTAATTTTTTTTTGTATGCATGTAACTATATAAGTTAAGTTATAATTGCAAATAAGTATGCTAGGTATTAATCTTTTCCCAACCTATTCTTACCCATCTTAGTTTTTTAAAAACTTAATTTAATTTATAACTTTTATCTAACTTTAATTTAAGACTTATTTAAAATAATTAGTCTATTATTAATCTATAATCTCATCAAAATTTATTTGCATTCTTAGGCAATTATTTGTGAATAAAATATAATGAAGCCAATGGCCCGTCGCCGAAGCTAAAAATCTATTTAAAAAAAAAAAATAACAACAATACAAATTTTATGAAAAAGACCTATAACCTATATTATCTATTTTTCGGACCTATAACGTCTTTTAAAATTCTAAATTTATTCAATTTTTTGTATTTTTCAATAACACAAATATACATTATACACTGACACATTGTTATGCCTATGATTAATTACTGATGTATGTATATAATATAGTGAAGCCCATTGCCAAAGCTATAAAAATCAATTTAAAAAAAAATATACAAATTTCATATAAAAGACCTATTACCTATTTTTGTGTATTTTTCAACGACACACCTTAAACATTGCGTTTTGCATATTTCTTTTTTTATAAACCTTTTTCGGATCAATTTTTTTGGGATTTTCGCATTTTTATGCACAGTTCAGTGTTCCTTTTAGTTTTTTTGCTATTAGTGCATATTTTTTTTTACCTTTTTCGGACTGTTTTTCAAAATTTATTTCATTCAGGTATTATCGATGTTCGATCACACAATTTTTTGATATACATAATATTACATTTATCATATTTGCATAACCTATCATAACAATTGTTTTGCATTTTTTACATTTCACGTATTACATTATGATTGCATATTGCTATGTTTGTTATGTGATTAAATATACATTTTTTGTTCCAATATATTTGTATTTTGTTGTATTTTTTGTTCATATATTATTATATTTATTTATATACTATATTGTTTGATCATTATTACGTATGACGTTCAAAATACATATATTTTATAAACACCTATACGTACAATGGTGAGTGGTCAGATCATTTTTTATAAGTCGAGAAATGTCTGATAGCCGTTGGATTTGCAAAAAAAGATGAACACGAATCTATGCTTTTATTTGGGGACAACAAAATTAAGTCGAATCTGGTTGGTAAATCATAGGTTAGGCAAGTACCTACTATGCCTACGGCCTATACCTACTACATTATATTATTATATGCAATCGGGAAAATACGAGCAATAAAAGAACAAAGTTCAAGAGTTGGTACCTATACGGCTATACTATATTGGTAGTTAGGTTACCTGGTGTTGCCCCAACATATTGTGTTCCCAAGAAAGAATTTTCGGAAAAACAGCGATTCAATAATTAATATTTGTTAATATTGTGTGACATTATTATTTATTTTACTATAATTTATTATTTATATTAATCAATTTATGTACTGTTAGCTCAACAAATACATACAAATAATTATTTTGCTGGATTTCGTAGATGATAAAAGTGTATAAATACACTAGTACTAACTACTATGTACTAACACCATCTAATTTTAATACATACATTTATTTACAGATCTTACAATAGAATTAAATTTACACATCTTATTACCGTATAACTTCGCAGATCATATTTTATATCTGTGCTGATATCCACTCACGTGTTTATAATAATATATTTTATGGTACCTACCATATTAATAATTAACCTACCTACCTATCAAGGTCGTAACCGGGGTGTAGGGTTCCCCCCCCCCCCCACGAATTTTTTTTTGAAATAAGATTTAATTATTTTTTAAATAAAAATTAATTTAATTTAATTTATATTTTTATATTTTCATATTTCATTATATAATATAACATATTTATACTCCAAACCCCCCTACATATTTTTCTGGCTACGGCCTTGATATACTTTTATATAATATTAAAGAGTATATTAGTTTTGACGTTTTGAGTGATGGTCGACGGAAAATATTATATTGGACGATTAGACCTATTCAGCTAATTTATACACGAAAAGCCCTCCCATGATGTGCTAAAACCCGAATTTCAGGATACGTGGCAGAAATTGTTTATAGATAACAAAAATAATTAATGATCTACAGAAACAAATTAAAAAAATTTAAACTATATATACATATTATAATACTATCAAATCTTGTTCTGAAAAAAATTAGTAACAAAATATTCGTAAAACTATTGTTTAAATTGTCAATGTTTTGTACAAATGCGGATTCTGGACTTTCGTTTGTGTCAATGATTCAAATTTGAAAAGATAAAAATAAAAATAATTTTTGATTTTGCCTGGAATGTATTTCTGAGTACTATTGGTCAATCATACGCATATACTCAAATATATACCATTGTGCATTTATCATGATTTTATTTCTATTTTTTATCGACTAAAAATTTTGGTCGAAGGGCAAAAACTAAAATAAAAACCTCTTCGTTAAAAGTGACACCGGGACACCGGGTCCCTGCAGTTTGCCTAATAGCACCACTGAGCTAGATTGATGAGGATTCAAAATAACTGAAATATATTCTAAAATTAAATGAAACAGAGAAAAGTACAAAATTATTAAGCAAATTTAATTTTCAAAGGCCGAGCAATTACGAAATACATATGAAACCAAATATAAGCTGCGAGATTGTGTACTGCATTCATTTAACCATAGGCGGAGATCTTGTGAAATATTAAGGGGGGCTCAAATATTTGATGACAAACAGATCCGTGGGGGCATTGCCCCCACACCCCCAACAAACTAATTTTTACATTAGATCACTCATAAAAAATTGTTCTCGTTGACTCGTTATCATAACAACTTATATAGTTACAATTTTACAAACATAAAAAAAGAATAATTAATAAACGATTTAAATTGAAATATTTCAAACATATTTGAACTAAATTATTTATTGAAAATCAAAATCACAATCTCAAAAGAAATGTATTCCCAAGAACATCAAACAATAAGTAAAATATAATTTAGTATAAAATGGTCAATACTCAATACGGTTAACGATTCATTCAATCGCGATAAACTTTACGATAGGTTTAAGAGGATGTCACACTGGTCATTTTCAGCGGTAAAAACACGGCTACGAAAAACAAACGAAACGGCATTAAAAAGTGTTTTTAGAGTAAAAATACTTATTATGAAACTTATAGAGAACAATATTTTGGAGGGAACCTCATCGGTGTTTTTCGAAATATTAATTATTAAAAAAGTTACAGTTATTTAAAAAATGTAAAAAAAAGGGTTTTTGTGCCTTTAATATCTAGCTGTGTATTTAGATTAATACAAAACCCCGATGAGGTTCCCTCCGAAATATTGTTCTCTATAAAATTTATTATAGGTATTTTTACTCTTAAACCACTTTTTAATGGCTTTTCGATTGTTTTTCGACAGCATGTCTACGTCGTTAGATTTGACTTTTCATTGCCATCATGTGCTGCCACCTGCCTGCCGTTGTGACCGCGGCCGCAAAGTCCCCCCACTACGCCAAAAAATGACTGTCTCGTACGGTCGCCGGTAATCGGCGACGAATAACGAGAACACTTCGACAAACGCTTCTGAGAATAGATAGCTATCGCTTCTCGAGAATTAACAAAAATTAGGAAAAGAAATATTTTTCCCATCTAAAATAGAATGGTATATATGTTATTCAATATAGATGGCCAATTGGTACAAAACATGTACAATATTAGTTATATAAACACAATATAATATTATTGTGAATTGTGACTTAATTGTTCGGTATGTTACCGACTTACCGTAAATAATAAATTGGTAAATAGTGTGTATGTAATGTACTAGGTACACTTATATAATTGTGGATATAAGAATATAAAATAATGAAAAAAGTTCTGCAAACTGTACAAAATTACGGTATTGTTTGTTTAATATTCTTAGGGGGTCTTTAACTTCAAATCATTTATTTTGGGGGGACTAAGCCCCCGTAAGCCCCCCCCCCAGATCACCACCTATGCATTTAACTAAAATTCATCGTATTATAAGGGTTGTGAATTGTGATTACATATTCACATGTACCTCGATAAAAAAATATATTTCTTATTTTTCAAGACGACACAAGAACGTGACTTCCATGGCAATCGGTAAAAAACTACATGAAAAAAACGATACGAAAAAAATAACAAGGTTATAAGTTATAAGTTGTAAGTATTATTATAGTATATAGTATTATTGTTATTAAAATTAGGCATTAGCCATAAGTTATTATACTGATATAATATATAAAACCGCTGGTGAAGAATATTGAAGCGGAGAAAGGGATACCCCAAATTTTTTAATGGCTACGATATCATATCCTATTCTATATTTTGTGATTTTTTTTAACTATTATTGATTCATATTTTTGATATTTTATTTGACGTTTTTCAATTTGTACATTTTGTATAACAGCTATAGTAAATACTACCTATACGATAATTGAGATTTTTAGATAAAAATAAATTTGACGGTTTTTGCAATGCCGATTTTACTCTTGTCGTATTTTACTTGACGTTTTTTTCCGGGTTGTTTTTTCCCTAGATTCGACTTCCATAAGACCACAGAACAATATAGAAACGACATTATGCTTGATAGGGGATTGCTGGAGGTTTAGCCACTGAGTATTTAATCAAATTATTTAAAGTATTTGGTGAAGTTTTATCCTTTGTGTGTTATCATACAATGTACACTATGTTCCAGCAATCCAGCCTCCAAGTAGCGTCCAATCGGCAATCGGCAATTGGCAATGGGCATTGGGCAATATTAAATATTTTTATATTCTGTGCTGATAACCGTTATCAGAGATGGCTGAAATCCTTGAGATAAGAGACAAACGGTTATCACGATAAATCTAATATTGGGATTTTGTGAAAACTGATATTATTATTATTGTAAATTTAAAACAGTTTCTTTTATAATATTTTTAATTTTCAGTTTAATTAATATTAAGTAAATTAGATTTAATCGAATTTTAAAATGAGTTTGTCACACACTCGCAGTATATTGCAGGTAAACTATTGTATAACATAATTTATAATAGTATTCAAATTCTGTGTACACAACTATTTTGTTGAAAATACAATATTTCATTATGGAAAAATAAATTGTTTAATCTAAAGTCAAAGCAAATAAAAGATAGATGTTTATAATAATGTTTGTACCCCTATTAGAGCTATTTGTTTATACAAATATGCACTAAAACTAAATTAAATATTTTGAATTAATTACTTAAGCAATGCTCAGAATATTATGATAATTTTAAATTAATTAATTTACAGCACTCAAGCAAAATTTTGCAATTCAGTAATAGTCAGATTTCTAACAGTATTCGCGGATTGACTATACCAATTGTAGTAGAACAAACTGGCCGCGGAGAACGTTCTTACGATATATTTTCTAGACTTCTTAAAGAACGAATAGTTTGTGTTATGGGAGAGGTAAGTAAATTTAAGTTACAAATAATCTATTTTATTTTTATGTGAACAAAT